ATAATAATAATAATAATAATAATAATAATAATAATAATAATAATAATGATGTGTTATGTATTGTCATCATTGTATGTTCCCATACAATGGCAAAATTGGATCTCTGCATTTAATCCATCCACCACCAGGTGGTGCTGTGGTCAGCTATTGAAAGCGCCCAGGATGCATTTTGGGGATAAGGTGTGCTGCTCAGAGACACCACAAGATGTGCAATGACTGGGGATCTGGGTGGAGTTTGTATGTCCTCTCGGTGCATGGGTGGGTTTTCGCCGGGTACTAAGGTTTCCTCCCACAGACCAAAAAACATGGATAATATACTGATTGGTACTGTAGCTCTAAATTGTCCCTGGGTGTGAGTGAGAGAGTGAATGGTTGTTTGTCTCTGTGATGGACTGGAGACCTGTCAAGAGTGTACCCTGCCTCTTGCACAGTGATGGCTGGATATGGGCACCAGTGACCCCCGCTAACCAAAAAAGAAGAATTGGGTAAAAGATAATGGATGAATGGCCGGATGTCCATAAAATATCTTAATGGCTTGTGCAAACATTGGTATCTGGTCATTTGTGAACCTAAAAAGTGTCAGGAGGCTTTTAAAGACGTCACTGTCTGATATTTATGCACCTGAACAAATTCCAAACTTTATATTTATCCTAATATAAAGTCAAGAGTTGTATACACTTGCCATCTTGCATAAGTTATGTGTTATTTGCTTAACGCTCACAATGACTGTGTAGCACATGATGTGTGACGATCCGCACACAAACGCACACACAGAGCCAGATGGACTTCCTGGCAGCTTCTACCTTGTCTCCGTCCACGAAGCTCTGGCCGTCACTGGCTCTCTTCCAGGAAATGTCAGGCAGAGGCTCTCCCTCGGCCACGCAGGAGATCATGGCGGCGCTGCCCTCTACGGCTGTCACGTTTTTCAGCTGGGTGATATGGGGCTGGACTGGACGCAGGACGAAGAATAAGGGGAACAAGACGAGAGAAATAAATTAGACAAGTGAGTAAAGAAGAATGTTAGATGGGCAGGGGAAGAAGTCTGAGGATGGAGGGAGACGAGAAGAGAGGAGCAGAAGTAAAACTGTCAAATATGTACTGTAGCTCATAACAGAGAGGAGATGAAGGCAGCACCAAGAGGCTGACATACTGACTTTGGTACTGACAATATAGACCAACATCATTTAAACCGTGCAGTCAAACTTTACAGTTTGATATAGTACCAAAGCATGGTCTAGCATATTTTTTATGTTTTACAGAAAACAGACTTTGTTAAAGTTTTAAGGCACAAACCCTGCATTCCATCTTTTTTTTGAAATTTTGAATAAATATAGATTTTTGTCTGGGAAGATGCCTCTCCAATACCGTGTGATTTGCTTTTGATGCAGAGTGAGCACTGAGAGCAGATAAGTGCTGAAAAGCGGGCCACTGAGGCCTGGTCCCTCCTCGCTTCCACCTGATAAGACGTTCTAAGCAAGCCCTGACACCCGATGCATGTCAAGGGCACAGAGCATGCAACATGAATCATGGATTACTTTTTTCCCCCTCCCGTCCACAGATACACACGTTCTGCATGTAAGTCTTTAACAGACGGCTCGCAGAGCAGGGCGGCATAAAATCCAAAAACGGAAAACGGGGAGTGAATGGAAAACGGTGACAAGGCTTTTAACGCCGCCTCCAGGGGGGGAATTTGGGACTGTTTGGCAATTTCACACGGCCTCAGCCTCAAGGTGGAGGAGCCGTCTCGAGGGATTTGTAGAGCTTGTCAAAACACGGGGTCACACAAACATACACACAAGCACGCACATATTACTTTACCCAGCAGCACCTTCGGTAAACACATCAATGTTCTAAGAGTGGGAATTATTTAGGCTCTAAATACCAAAATGTCATTCTTAAAGAAAAGTAAATCTAATCCCAACTTCAGTGTGGGGATTTTGTAGATTACTTTATGGATGTGTATATATATTTATATGTTTCAAATCAGTGACATCTAATGTACAAGCATTAATAAATCTTATAAAAAGACATTAGTAGGGTTTCATTTGAGCCAGGAACAAGATCCGGGAACTCTCTTATTTTGACAGGGTGCATTCCGGTAATTATTTGCTTGGATCCGGTAACTCTTAGGCTGACTAATAATAAAGTTATGAACAAATATGACTGCCTTGAATGAATAAAGCTTATATTGGATATATAGTCTGAAAATATTTACATAAACACCAATTTTAAACACAACAATCACTTACGAGCTTTTTAATATCACATCTGAGCTGCCCCTTGAAGTAAGAATTTCCACTTCTGCCTTTAAAAAAAAAAAATCTCCGCCCCTAAACGTACAGTCATGGGCAATTTAATTAAAAACAAACATATAATTAAACATCACAACTTAGTTGCAAATCAATTTTTGCAGTTTAAGTGGGTCATTAATAAAATTTAGATTATTTATTAAAAATATAAGAGAAATGTGTGATGGGTAACCACGTGATGTACATCCTGTTTCAGAATAATGGCGAACATTTGTCAAAATAACAGCAATAAAATGTCAAAAAGACAGTCCAATTTACTTTTATTTAAAAAAAGTAATTGTACAACTAAACAACCTAGAATTGAAGCACATGAAAGTAGTGGCAATGGAGATAGTACTCGACATGGGGGTGGGGGTTAGGATGCTTGAGATAAGCGGAGCATGTTCCATTCACACAAGGGGAGCTGTTGGTCAGGCTACTTCTTGTTGCTCTCTAAAATAGTTATTGAATCAAGTGTTTACTTATGTAGGGAAACATAGATGTTTAACAACCCATTAAAATACACCAGTATGCAGGAAATGACATGTACTTCATTCAAAATTCCCCACCCCCGCTATTTGCGTTTCGGCATAGTTTCGTTTACAAATTAAGCACTGGGTGGGCACATTTGTGCAATCTCTAAGTTAAATTGAAACAATAGGACTAAGTATGATAGCAAAGATACAAGCCATATTAGAATTTGGAATTAAAGTTAACAGAAAATGCTTTTAAAACAAACTGCATCAATCTGAACCTTTTCAATATAAAAATATGTTTATTCGAATATCAGCACAACAATCTGTTTAAAACTTAAAAACATACTAGGATAAATTATTAGACTCACTACAAAGCTTCGCGATGAAACTAAATTATTGGTGGGATGTAAAAAACACAGATTGTCCAAATTTATTACACTTTGGAAAAGTTTATTTTTTTAAGTTCAGAACTGTTAAAAGCACATTTAAAAAGACAAATGAATGCCTAAAACTATCCTACCCACCACCACAACCACCACGCACACCCACAGAGGAATAAAAAATAAAACTACTGAAAGTGGGCTGAACGAGCTCTTCATCATCACCATATCTATCATCAGACAAATATTAAATGAAAAATGTCTCATTCATCAAGCACAGCACAAAAAAAATATATCACTCTGCTGGGAATGTTATTAATAACACTTTATCTGAAATATTTCAACTTGAAATGAGAACGGGTTCAGAATGATAACATTTCAAAGCCAGAATTAATTTGACCTTCCAGGTTTGGCTTACTTTTACTTTCACGGAATTAAAAGTTCAATTTTAATTTGGTATGCATATTGGCATGAGCTTCTTTTGAGTTCATCATAAGTAAAATCAGTGATATTGCATAGACTTGGTTTATCACTATGATTACACTTTACCGTTTCAAATAATGGCAGGATATTATGGGGTTATACTCATAAATGTTGGATTTAACTGCCAGTTATGTGTCAAATTAAATAACTAGCAATGCATATCTCACACCGCATTCATGGCAAAGTTTTACACTAAGACCAATTTGTGTTGAAAGCAAACTTTGTCAAATTGGCTGCGTTATAGCCATTTTGGTATTTGAGAAGGATACATAGCAGTGACTGCCATCATTGTCTCTTTGTGCTTGGCAGCAGGTAATAAAAATGAGAAGTGGTGCATAATGTTTTAATGTTTACAACAAACCAAAAATTAATATTTGCTAACATTCACTTAAATCAAAAAATAAAAACAGACCTCCCCATTTGTAGGCAATACATCCTTTCTAGTGGAATATTCGACATTACATAAAGCTCTTATCCCTCCTACGGACACGTACCAAGAAGCAAAACATGCTGCTGATAGAGCTAATGTGTGTATTTGTTGTTTTAGACACGCAAATATATAAAAGCAAATGTCAGCTCGGATCCCCTCTGCCATCCCCGATGCGCCGCCTCAAAAGGTTTTAACAGAAAGATCCATCATCGAACCAGTTCTGTTGCGTCACAGAACATCGGTCGATGTGTTTCACTTTGTTCCACGAGTTATTTATGTGTTCCGAAGTGATGTAATTTACTTTTCTTGCCGTTTTGTTCTGGTAGACTGATATATTTCTTAAAGCAAAGAGGGTAGTGTATCATCTGTTTCCATTCATCCTAAAGCAGGAGAAAGAATAATGTCATGGCGTCTAAAGCAGGTCTTTTATTTTACTCAATGTTGACAAGAAAAAAAAAAGAGTCAGACAACTTTAAAGATTTAGTCTGGACAGAAATATATACTTCTACTCCAAAGATAAATTAAATGCTGATTGTTGTCAGGGAGGAAAAAAAATGCCCTTTTACGAAAATCTGACGTTTACTATTGATGCGCCGGACAACTGAAAAGGCTCTATGAACTCATTGCTTATTGTTGACTATTGTTACAAATGTATGGAGGCAAAACACAAAAGTACTGTAAAGTTTTAGACAGGTGTACAAAAAGAACGAAGCAAAGTAAATCGTAAATGGTCTGCACTTATATAAAGTAAGAATACTTCCACAAACTTTAATTTTGTTGAGAAATTTCTGTGTAAACCCATTCACTGTTTGCCTCGAAAACAGAACCTTTTCTTGTAAGAACTCTTGCAGAACGTTTTCAAAGGAAGTCAGCAGGTCAGTTGTAACAAACATCACATATCTAGGCCAGGAGGTCTGCTTCCTTTATGATCAAAAGAGCCATTTTTGTCCCTTTGCACACTATAGAAAATGTCTATGGAGCCACAAAACCTGCTAAAACTGTGATTATAAACTGGTGGCCCACTTCAAGCTTGTTGGAGGGGCTTTTCTGGACAGTAGGTGTGGTATTATGAAACTAAAATACAAAGTATCAAATTATTATTTTTTATTGGTATTTTTAGATTTTAGGGCAAAAGAAAAGACTGGATTTATGTAAATAAGAAATTATATATATATATATATATATATATATATATATATATATA